CATTTACAAATCGATCAGCAGTAGTTTGATGGCAATCTGATTTTTATTCAGTCTGACCGACTGTAGCAATTAAATCAAGAAATTCTTTCCCCAGAAATAAGTATGGAAATTAAAATCCTTAAGGGCTTCATTTTAATTTTAAAATGTGGGAGTGTTCTGCCAGTCTACTGGTTCTTAAAAACACTTAATTTTAGATGTATTTATATGGCTATTTTGGAACTATATCTTAGAACCAAAATTGTTCTTAAAAAGCTAGTGTATGATCACAGGGAAATCCTCAGTACATCTCCGTTATTGGTGGGAAAATTGAGACCCCAAAAGTTTGAACAATCTTCTGGAGATGGGTCAGAAAGAGACAAACCATAACATAGGTTTCCTGGTTTCTAGTCCACTGCTCTGAGAGGCAGTGAACCACAGAGAGGATGCCCTGGGTCATACTAGGAACAGTACTATATTAGTCATAGTACTAGGTCATGAATATTTTATGTTCTTAGTGTACCAGGGACTCTGCAAAGCACTTGACCTGCAACACTGTGTGCCATTTAAACTCATCCACAGAAAGGAAAGCATCATTATCCCCATTTTATAAATGAGAAAACTACGACCTACACAGATTAAGTAATTTCCTCAAGACTGCTGAGTTTATTAGAGGGAAAGTCGGGATTTGAACCCAGGCCTAACAGATGAATGACCGAGAACAGTGCCATCCCCCAGTGGGCCAGAAGGAAGAAGCTAGTCCTGTTGCTGCTGACTAAACAGTCAGGCGCAGAGGCCTTCATCGCTGCCAGCCACAGCCAATCACCCTCATCTTTATTAGCTTTCATGAGGGAAAGTGATGTGCCCTCTCCCCCCGCCCCCATTTAGAAGGCATTTTCTGCACTAAACCAGCTCCCTAGAACTGTAATTGAAACTCAGGATCAGCTACTATAAATATTTGCATAAAAATAGCATAATTGCCTAGTTGGACCGTCTTAGCTGGACGCTGTTGCCATTAAATCATCAAGAATATTCACATTTTTATTTCCTCAATCTGGAATGCATTAAAACAACAGTGATTTTACAGGCATTTATCTTTATGTACTTTCTGCACATTTTCTTTATCTCTGCTTTTGCCTTTCCTTAAAGCTGATGCCTCCCAGGCACTGTAATTCATAAAACGTGCAGTGGGACTTGGCTGGGTCTCACTTCTCTGCCTGCCTGTGTCTTGGGTCCAGCGGCAGAATACAGTCTGGGGAATGTCTGTGCCCCAGCCCAGCCCCTGAAGGGGGGGCAGGTAGAGATCGAGAGGGGAGGTTCCTCGGGAAAAGGTGAGCTCGGCCTTGGCCTGCCTCTCCACAGCATTATTTGTTGGGCTATCTGATGGGTATTCCCACCAAGGCCTCTGACCTGCAGCCCTCTTCCAATCAGGTGGTATCTCCATTTGCTGGCTTACACTCTAAAAGTCATACCTCATAATGTTGAGAACTAACGGTTCCTTAGCAATGTGACGTTCAGCTCTCCATTTTGGAGTTGTCGGGGAGGGTTGGCAATTAAGTTTGTGATTTTTAAAAAGCCAAAAATTGAACTTGAAATACATTTGTGGTCTCTGGTCTGTAATGTGACCTACCTGAGTGAGAGGACCTCTTTTTAAAAGCAGCTCGAGGTCTAAAATACTCCAGAGCTTCAGTCCTGTGCAACAGAAAGCACGGGGTTAGGAATAAGTCAGGTGACGTGGACACTGGCCTTCTTCTCTCTCAGAGGGTGATTTGTGTCTGCCATCCTGTCCATTAATATTCCCATTCTTTCTTTTCCCCCACAATATATGCATTCCAAACAGCACATGCCTGGTGCTTACATGGATGCATTTACCTCTTAAATTCTGCACGAATGATGTTTTTCATCAGCCATTACAGATTCTGCTTTTCAAAGTGCACGTTGCCCCAGTGTGGTCCCCACTCACTTCTCTGCCTGCCTGTGTCTTGGGTCCAGCGGCAGAATACAGTCTGGGGAATGTCTGTGCCCCAGCCCAGCCCCTGAAGGGGGGGCAGGTAGAGATCGAGAGGGGAGGTTCCTCGGGAAAAGGTGAGCTCGGCCTTGGCCTGCCTCTCCACAGCGTTATTTGTTGGGCTATCTGATGGGTATTCCCACCAAGGCCTCTGACCTGCAGCCCTCTTCCAATCAGGTGGTATCTCCATTTGCTGGCTTACACTCTAAAAGTCATACCTCATAATGTTGAGAACTAACGGTTCCTTAGCAATGTGACGTTCAGCTCTCCATTTTGGAGTTGTCGGGGAGGGTTGGCAATTAAGTTTGTGATTTTTAAAAAGCCAAAAATTGAACTTGAAATACATTTGTGGTCTCTGGTCTGTAATGTGACCTACCTGAGTGAGAGGACCTCTTTTTAAAAGCAGCTCGAGGTCTAAAATACTCCAGAGCTTCAGTCCTGTGCAACAGAAAGCACGGGGTTAGGAATAAGTCAGGTGACGTGGACACTGGCCTTCTTCTCTCTCAGAGGGTGATTTGTGTCTGCCATCCTGTCCATTGATATTCCCATTCTTTCTTTTCCCCCACAATATATGCATTCCAAACAGCACATGCCTGGTGCTTACATGGATGCATTTACCTCTTAAATTCTGCACGAATGATGTTTTTCATCAGCCATTACAGATTCTGCTTTTCAAAGTGCACGTTGCCCCAGTGTGGTCCCCACGTGCTCCTCTGCCTTGGACCGCAGGCTGCTCTGGGGGTTTGACACAAGGTGGGCACAGGACCTAGAGCGAGCGCCTGAGTCTTGGTACAAAGCAGGCTACAGCCTTTTATTCGATCACCAACGCTAGATACCATGTAGGATACACAATCAAGTAGCTAATTAAATATTAGGGGCAGTGTAATGTATGGTCTTTCTCAGTGCCCATCAGGGGCTCTGGGTTTTGTTTAGAGTTTCAGATTTAATCCTTTGGTGCCCTAGGGAAAAGAGAGGTTTACTAGTCTGGATTTCTGGCATCTCACTCATGGGAAGGAATCAGTCAGGTGAAAATGTTTCCTGTAGTTATACTATGTTAGGAGATCTGTTGATATTTTCCCAGAGGACAGGGAATGCCCAAATTGAGCCCTTAATCACCCCCTCCCCACTGTGGAGCGGAGGGTGGGCCCCAATGGCTCTACTCCTAAGACATAACATCAGAATAGAAAATAAGGTGGCACTTAATTTTCTGTATTGGGGACTAATGCCACCAGACATTCAGACATTGAGAAATCACTTTAGATGCTTAAAAGTGCCTTATCTAAGGTTGAGAGACAGACTATTTTCCTTCCAAATTCATCCAGTAACATGCTGACATCATTTCTTTGGTATCTTTCAGAACTGTTTTCACAACATGTAAACTTAAGCTTTACTTTAAAAAAAAAAAGATGACAGTATGTCCTAGAAGTCTCATGATTTGTGGAAGAAATTTGATACCGGTTCTCTTTGTTTTGCTACAAACTCTTCTTGCTAGTAGTTTCCATTTACGGTTGTTAATGTATTTGAAGGCATTTCATTAAAACAAGTGGCAGCTCTGTGGTTGTGTGCCATCGCTAGCGACCTTTTGAGGAAGGTCTTGGGTGTCACGAATGCCTTTGAGAATCTGATGAAGCTAGGAACCCTTGGGAAAGGGAGCTAAATCTTAAATGTTTGCTTGCTGTTTCAGTTTAGGATTCCCTAACGCTTGGCCAGGGACCTCAGTTTGATATATCTTTGCTCTAGAAGGACTTGAAAAGGCAGCTGGGGCCAGCATCACCGGAGTCAGTATGATGCCCACGGCCTGACCTAAGTCTTATTTTTGATGGGTTTTACATTGATGACCACCAAACACTCTGTAGGGAGATTTCAGATATAAGGGACTGTTGGATCCGTGCTCTCACCATGTGTGTAATCTTGAATTTTCTCTTTGATTTTTATCATGATAGTCAATGCTATTTTCATTTGAAATGGTATTTAAACTTTTCCCAAAGGATCTGCTTTTTCCTTCCTGTGTGAAATGCTTGAAACTACTTGATAGTATGGAATGGGGCAGGGGGCACTCACTGAAGCAGATAGCTTGGTAAAGTGTTGGTTTACCCATCTTGTTTTTTGAATAGGGCATTTTATAGTTAGCAAAATGAATAACCATCGTGTGATCTGGAAGAGGATCGTGGGGTTTTGTTTTTTTTTTTCCTTTTAATTTTTGCTCAGCATCAGGGACTTCTTTGTTTTGGCTGATTAGAAGGCCATGTTAAATATTTTTGCACAAATCAATTATCCAGCATCTGGATATTTTCACTGATGAAATATGATCCTCATTTTCACAACCGAAAAAAGTTGCCCTCAGCTTTGAAAGTTACTCTGTCCTTTCTTAGAAGACTGATAGGCAGGCGGCATCTTGGAAGCCCTCCATCCTGGTGTCTTTGACCATCTCCAGGGGCGGTGCTCTGTGACCCTCTGCTGTGGAAATCTCTGAACAGGAAGCCAAATTGCGCGACTCCTTTTAGTTGTCAGGGATGAAGGAGAAGCATCTCATAGGATGTCAACATCCAACCTGCTGGTTTAAATAAAATCTTTATGACCCCAGTGCTTCCTGCCCACTCTAATACTACTGAAATTTCCATTTCAGTTTATTAAATAACACAATTTTACATGCACAGAGATAGGAACTTTCTCTACGGGCATTCCTCCAGAAAAGGGCAGCTTCTGCCACTGGGTTGCTGGCATACGCCTCTGGGTCCCTGCTCAGCACTTGGGAGAGTTTCTAGGAGAGCAGGTGCTGGCTCCTTATGTGTACCATTTACTGTCACAGCTCAGGGTGCATGTGCAGGTCCTTGTGGGGTAATCTGAGGTCAGAGTTGCTCCGTTGTCCTTCATTTAGTCATAGCACCTGCTCAGGTAGCATCTGTTGGCTGTGTGTTTAAGACTAATGCGTCTCCTCCCCTTTTGTTCCCTCTCGCTGCCGCCTCTCCTCTCTGCTTACCCTCCCCACCGCTGCCCTCACTCTTGCTCCAATCAGCTTGACGCTCAGGTCAGTACTTTTGAGTTTTTCTTCTTACCGCCTTTCCCTCCTAAGCTCGGCTTATTGCTCGCCCGAGTTTAACACGTTTCGGAAATGGTTTTCCTCCGGCCACCCCATTGTATTTTATTATTTTGTTTTACCATTTCATCCCATGCCTAAAGAAGGTTAATTTTATGAGAAATCTTCTTCTTGGGGTAAAAAGGCCAAGAAGAAGATGGGAAGAAAGGCTGTTGGGTTATTTGGTGCACTGTATTCTGGAATTATAAAATCAGTAAGTGAAAACTCCCTATAGGGCATTTCTCCTGAGCAGCTCTGCACATGGGCTGCACGAGGATACAACATGGAGCTATGGAAACACAAAATGTAGGATGCCGAGTTTAACCTAGGAGAACAGAAGATCTGCCTACGACACAGCAATTTATAAGCTGCGTTTAATAGTGCGAACCATTCAGACTTTTTGCTTAATAAATCACTGTGTTTTGACAGATTTATAATGCCCTTTTAAAAGTCACTTTTGAAAATTATCAGTATGGTAGTAACATATTGTACACACATGTTGTGTCCCGTCATTGTTTTGTTTTTTAACTTTTTAACTTCATCTTTATTAGCCACAAGACATACTTTAATTACCTAGGTCATACCATATGGAACCAAATGGAAAGCTGAATTCAGCAGTGACTCCAATGCACCCTGATGTAAAGAGGCAGGGTAGATGTGTTGTTTGAAAACACACCCCAGGTTTGATTCCTCTAAGGTAGGGAACCTAAGGCAGCAGTTGATTTTCCTCTAGGTCAAGAGAAGTCTTGCCCGTGTTACATAGTAATATCTAGCGATTCTTTATCATTCCATCAGTGAGGTTTCTGAAAGATGCTCTCTGTGTGATATGGCCTACCTGGACTTAAAAGGAAAAAAAAAGCACACTTAAATGGGTTTAACCAGTACAGTTGCTCTTTGGAGAGGCAAGCTATATTATTTTCTTCTCTTTATTTTGGGTCTACACCTCTTTATTCTATCCACGGCTCATCCCCTAAGCTGTCAGATCAGTGCATTTTGCCAGCAGCGAATAAAATTTCCTGCCCCCACACCGATGGCGCCCTGCCTGCTCCACACCCCTATGGCTGAGAGGCTTTGAAAGTGGAACCACTTCCCCCTCCATTCCTGTATCCCCACCCCGGGTGTCCTGCAGAAACAGCCTCAAAACTGCATCCCACTGAAGGAAGCCCAGGCTCAGGAGTTCCCACCGAGGTCTAAACAGGGACAGCACGCACGGCCCTACAGAGCTGATTTCACCCAGAACTAATGACTTACTCCTTTCCTGGCATCCCTGTGTGCAGACAACAGACCTGGTAGCGGCCGGGGGCCAGGGAGGGCTGGGCCACGTGGCATCCGAACCTTCCCTTAGGTGTTAGATTTGCTCATTTAGTGAAGCTTCAGGCTTTTCTCCTTGCCTGTTGGTTTTGTTTTTTTTTCTTCTTTTGCGTCCCCTTTGCTGCCCCTAATCTGCACCTGTTGACATGGAAGCCCTTCAGATGGAGTCACAGGATTTCTGCGTGTCTGTTCTGTGCCCGGAACTGTGTTGTGCGGTATTTTGTTTCTCTCCTACTTCATGGTGAATGAACATGAACTCTGGCTCTTGGAAGGCAGGGTCCGGCTAGGTTGTAGCTAACTAACGGGTCTCTGGATAAGGGACCGGATGTGTTGACAGGGTTTGGTGACATGTGCAGGCCGCGTCCAGTTGGGTGAACAATTATGGTCGAGCCAAGGTTTAGATCACTTCAATATCATTCAACCCCTTGCCCCAAGTTAACATGGTGGAGAAAATGTACAATCCCTCATAAATAGTCTCTAGTTATATTTTTTGTGCAGGAGGAATTGGGCAGCCCTGCTCTCCGGGAAACAAAAAACCTATAGGGTCCTGGGAGCTTTCTTGAGCTTTGACAAGTTTCCAGAGTTAACAATACTTTTTTCCCAACCCCTTCCAGGTTTACCAGCTAAAATGAAATGAAATGTATCAGTTGAATTGATTATAGGCTCTCTGGTCCATGTGCTTGCTTTATTTGCCTCACACTTGAGTACATATATTTGTATGTGCATGCGTATATATATGTGTGTGTGTGTGTGTGTGTGTGTGTGTGCATTTAAATATGTGTATACACATATCATATATTTAAAAAAATAATGTCAAGGCTTTCTTCCCATAGAAGTTGGTGGTCTGCCCTGCACATCCCTACCTCCCAATCTCAAGGCTGAAAACCTCACTAACTCTTGGGTCTTTTCTGTGCGCAGTAGGCTCCATCGGAAATTCTCCCCTGCAATTACTTTTTTAAAAGGCCTCATTTCCTTTTCATATTGTGTAGAATCTACTGCTTAAATTCAGGTGGACAGATAACGGTATTGGGTTTGGGAAAATGCACGTGTCAGATTCTAAACCTGTTCAGGTTCTCACTCCAGAAAACTCTACCTCTGTTAAGAATCTCATGATACCCAAAGCAGGCGAAGGCTGGAGAGATTTAACAGGATCCCTGCGTTACACTCAGGGGAAGGTTTATGTACAATTTGTTCCTTTCTAGGAACTATTTGTTAAATTAGCATGTGACTTAGGACAGAAGAGGTTCTCAAGGTAAATGTCTGTGACAATTGACCAAAAAAGGAAAAAAAGTTTCCTTTGCAATTCTGTTCAAAATCCTGCCAGAGGATCAACCACTTTAAACTAGAAGGCTTAGCCTCTCTCCAGCTTTCCCGACCCCCACTTTGCTTTGGACCCTGGGCTGGCTGCTTCCTGTGAGTTTGTTCCTCAGCATCCCCTCTTGGAGAGGAAGGAGCTGTCTTAGGGGTGGGTCTTCAGGGATCCCCTCTGCACACGCCCAGCAGAGGGGCTGTTGGTGATGGGCTGTGTGCGTCTATCTCCATGGCTTACAGGCTGGAGCTGATGGCTGGCGCCTGGCAGCAGGCATGAGCTCATTGTTACAGAGTCACTTCAAACACGTCCACCAAAATAAACCCTCTGTGATGTTTCCTCAAAGCTGAATACGCCACTCTCAATCCTTCATCCTTCTAGCAGAAGATGAAGTCACCACTGGTGGATCTCAGAGGCCTGCTGTGCAAAACAATAATGAAAAACACCGTGCACAGAGCATCCCCTTGCTGCCCTGCAGTTTGCTCTCAGCTTGGCTCAGTTCTTGGCCCCATTCTATCCACAAATATGTGGTGAGCACCCACTGTGCGCTAGTCAAGGGCACTCATGCTGGCCTAGCATGTCCAAAAAATACCTAATGTCCTGCGTGCAGTGCAGAGAGCCTCTCCCTTCATCCTGACATCCTGAGCAAATCATTTAAGAAATGCTGTACATTACTGTCTCCATTTTTTTTTTTAATTCAGGATGCACGTTGGTATCATCCTAGGGGAAATGACAAGTAGCAGCTGCAGTGGTAACACCGAGCATTAACTAAGCGCCAGCGCTGAATGAATCACTTTTTATGTAGCATTTACTTCTCATAACAACCGTATAAGGTTGGGACTGTCATTTCTTCCATATGAGAGGCGAGGCTGCTGGAGTTCATGACAGTTAAATATTTTGGTAGCATTAATACAGCCAGTCAGTGAGGGCATTGGGTTTTTCCCCAGAAAGCCAATCTGTTGTGATTTACAAATCAAATCTTTTGCCACTTCCGCGCCACGTGCGTAGTGAAAGCTCTGAGAAGGCCTGCAGTGGGGGAATCCACGTGATGGTGTGCAGTCTGTGTTTTCCCAAATAATGGTGCTTGTAGAGTGTATTATGGAGAGCACTTTGGGGAAAGACTGTCCCACCTGCAGTGCGGAGAGCCTCTCCCTTCATCCTGAGATCCAAGCTCTCTCTGCCCTTCCATGCCACCTCCCTGCCCTGGGCTGGTGCTTTGTGTACAAAGCCTCCTCCTCCAGTGCCAGCACAGGGGTCAGCTCTTGCGCCGAGTGGAAGCGGTATCTCTCTGCCTTGGTCTCCTCCAAGCTTCCTCTGGCCCTCTCCCCCGGCCTGTGTCATCCGTACCCCACCTCGAATCCGGCGCTGTGTCCTCAGCAGATGGCATCCTCCTTGAGCACTGGTGGGTCTCCAGCTCAGTGTAGGGCTGAGGCACGCACATTGCAGCTGGCAGTCATGTTCCTAACTGCTAAATAAATGACAGTTGCAGAAAGAAACTTCGCATTGGCTTTATCCCAGCGCTCTGCCCTCTGCCTGGTGCCCACGGAAGTTTGCTGGTGGGCCCTTTCTGGAGGCTGAGGTGACTACACTGCATATCGCAGCTAGCCTCAAACAGGAAGCCTGATAAAGAATATGATTGGTTTTCTATCAAGCTGGATGCTTAAAAGTTCCAGGAAAATACACACATACAAGAAAGGAGAAGACATCCTCTGAAGCTGTGCCATTTCTCCCTCCCTGCGCTCCTTTGCTCCCTCCCCTCCCCCCACCCCCGCATCCCCTCCCTTCCTGACCATTCGCTGAAATCCTCCTCCGTGCAGGGTCTGCGCTGGGAGTTGGGGAAGGAGCCGTAAAACAGACATGACGCCTCCCCTCCCTGAACTCAAAGACCAGCACTTCCTAGAAGGAAGGATTTGGCCACTAAGAAAAATAGTTTGTCCCATTTTTACTAATAACTGGAAAACTGGGTTTCAGGTGTTTTTTAAAAATTCTTTTTCCTGTTCTGTTGAAGGGGTTATCCGCAGGTCAGAAAATCATTTCCCTCTTTAAGCCTGCCTTATACTAATGCTGACATTTCTGGTGAAGTGTCAGAAAATTTTATGCCCAAGCAGAACTGGTAGAAAGCCAGAAATCAGTTGATTTTGCTTTGGGTGCAAATATTTTATTTGGGGATGGAAAAAAGTTGTTTTCCCTGATTTACAGCTCCTGCAAACACAGAGTGGGTTCTATATTTAGAAATGGTTTTGAGCCTTTGAGGTGTAGCCAGGGGTTGGTTCTTACACCTTCCCGACCTGGCCTTGGTAGGACTTGCCGTGGCTCATGTTTTGCTGAGCCA